TGATGACCAAGTTCAACGTACTCGCAACGGTAATAGTAAAGTGTAACTACAACACATATAAAACTTCGTACAGACTATGGCTTACATCATGTAATAACCTTGCAATGTGCACTCATACATTGGATTTCCAGTGAAAACTATATGTATGAGTGCTCATTGCAAGACATGTATGAGTTGGCGATTGTCATCAGGTATATTGATCGACCGACGGAAACATTCGTGGGTGTGAGACGGGTGTTGAAAACAGACGCGACGACCATCTTCAATACTAAAGCTGACGTCCTAACAGCGATGCAGATTTCTTGGGAGCAGGTGATGGCAGTATATTTTGACGGTGCCAGCCCAATGGCTGGCAGCACTGCTGGAGTACAAGCCAAGTGCAAGGACGAAAACAGCAATATACTTTTATGAAGAGCTTTGAGTTGGTTTATTTCCTTTTAATTCCGTTATAATTGCTTAACTTTTGACAGATACGCGTATTTCGTCTACTACTTGCAGACTTCATCAGTGCCAAGTACTCAACACCACTGATCAAGATTGGATTTATCAAGAGCAATATACTGTTTGTTCACTGCTATGCGCACTGTTTGAATCATGTACTTGTCGACGCATTGTGTATACGAAAGAAGAATGCGAGTCTTATTGATCATTCACGTCGGTTTGGCGGTGCTATCACCACCATCTGACGTGACTTCAGCTCAATCCAACCACCAAGGCAACAACATTGCAGCAAATGTATCATTTCGGTTAAAGACCTACTATCACAACCATTTGACGAACCGATCATCATCGACATCATCTCTGGGATTAAATTGCCAATTTCCATTGGCTGTCTGAAAGCAATTTGCATTGAAGAAGATGAAGCACCACCGGAGTAAAAAATAAATAAAATTAGCTAAATTGAACAGTAGGGAAACAGTGGTGGGTGGACAGCACCATCTCCCACGCACTTTGGAGTACTCACCATCCCCATATTAAATGCACCATAAAACAAACAATTGCCCCTCCTTCACAAGATTCCTGTGCACGCTAGTGTTCCAAACCCTTTGAGCTTGTTGTGATGGACCAATTATTCTTTCATTTCAAGCAATTTTTAAGCCCATGGTTTCATTCCCGGTCGTTCAACCGCGTCAAACCTTTTATGTCTCACTTCTTACAAAACCGACAGTATGCTTGAACGAGCACAAAAAGATGTTCTATATTTGGACTTATCCGCAGCATTCGATAAGGTCAACCATCAAATTTCTGTAGCGAAGCTTGAAAAGCTTGGAATTCATGGAACTCTTTTGGATTGCTTCCAGTCCTACTTGAACGGTCGTCACTCGCAAGTAGTCATCGGCGAATCCACTTCAGCTTCATTTCCAATCACATCAAGGATTCCGCAGGGAAGTCATCTTGGACCACTCATCTTCCTTTTAAACTTCAACAATGTCAATGCAGTGCTGGATGGACCAAGGCTTTCGTTTGCTGATGACTTCAAGCTATATTTCAAGATTCGTTCTGAGGCTGACGCTCAGTTTCTACAACAACAACTTGATGCATTCGCTCATTGGTGCCAGATAAATCGTATGACCGTAAATCCTGCAAAATGCTCAGTTATTACGTTTTCTCAACTGAAAGATCCAAAAACCACTGGTAAGAGTGAACGAAATCAAGGACTTGAGAATTATCCTCGACTATCAGTTGACCTTCAAGCAGCACGTGTCGTTTGTAGTGAATAAAGCTTCAAAATCTCTAGGCTTTATCTTCCGGTTAACAAAAGAGTTCACGGACATTTACTGTCTAGGTGCTCGGTCGACATTGGAGTACTGTTCGACTGTTTGGAGCCCTCACTACCAAAATGGAATTGAGAGATTAAAATCAGTGCAACGGCGGTTTGTTCGATTCGCACTTCGTCGACTACCATGGCGGGATCCATTTCGTCTCCCAAACTACGAGCACCGATGTCAGCTAATTCGTCTGGATACACGAAGAGACGTTGCTAAGGCTATGCTTGTTTCTGATGTCTTGCTGGGTCAAGTTGATTGTCCTGAAATCCTACAACTAATCAACTTGTATGTGCGACCAAGATCTCTACGGAACAATCCGATGCTATGCCCTCAATCGCACCAATTACGGAATGAACAGTGCCATTACTGGGATACAGAGAGTGTTCAACCGGGTTGCCAGTCGATTTGATTTTAACGTTTCGCGTGACTTGCTACGTGCTAGATTTCTTAATGTTTTTATATAATTTGAAACATATGTGTAGCTTTCATGTACATTAATTTAGTTCATTGGCAACAACGTATCGATCATCAATAAATAAATGAATAAATAAATAAAGACATCAGCACATTTTAGAATGATATACACATGTTCTATATTTGGTGCAAAAAATCCTTTTAAAACTGAACGTAAAAAATGTTATTCAATAGCTATTAGTAGAAAACGAAGCACACCAGATCAGGGTTGCTTCCACTCACCTGCTATAAAAGAATATAATTCGGATTTATGCTATCATTAGATGCAATAATGCTATGTTGTACTTGTGAGTAACAAGAAGAGGTAGTTAAGTATGTGTTCGACTCATAAAATCTGTCAATTTCGCTTTGAGAGCGTCACAATTAGCGATCTTATGATTCGTGAGCGTTCACTCAGAGTGAGCGCTCACGAGTCGTAAAATCGCTGATTGTGACGCACTGAAAGCAATTTTGACAGATTTTATGTGTCAAACAAATACTTCATGACCTTTTCTTGTAACTTACAAGTACTAATTAGTATTATACTATATCATGATTTCATAATTCCGAAAAACATTTTTTTATAGCAAGTGAGTGGAAGTAACCCTGACCAGATATTACAATTAGGAATTCAGCAGTTAGAAAAGTGTGAAAGAGTTAGGGATTCATGAGTTATCATAGATTCCAAACTAACATTCAGTGATCATTTTAATACAATCATCAACAGAGCAACAACTTGGCTTTATTAAACGATTTACCTATAATTTACATGATCAGTGCACAATAAAAACGCTGTAAATTGCCTACGTGAGTTCAATAATGGAATATTGCAACATAGTCTGGTGTAATATGCAAAGACATGGACGTGATTCAAATAAGTAATTACGCTTTGGATATAAAAGCAATTCTTATTGTTTTTACTTCGTAAATTAGCTTGGAAAAGATTACCTCTTCCGTCTAATGAAGTACGGTGCATGTTCATCAATATTCAAATATTAAAAGAGCGTCGTGAATTACCAATGGTCCCATTTGTTAACGATATCGTTTCGAATAGTATTGATTCAGTTAAACTTATTAAAACTAAGTTTGTATGTACCTTCTCGACAACTACGCAATCGAAATATTTTATTTACAAACCTCCATCATACAAGCTATGCTAAATTTGGACCCTTATATAGAATTATGGCTACAACAAGAAATGCGAAACTATTGACTTAAGAATGACAAAAACCAAATTGAAAAAACACTATAACTCAAATCGTTATTTAACACATCAAAATAGAAAATTACTAAGATAAACCCTGCTTAATCTATTTTATGTCTTTTTAATTCATTATAATTTAAAAAAGAAAAACTCAGTAAATAATTATTATTTTAACAAAACGGTCTACATCTGATTGACGACAATAAATAAATAAATAAATAAATTCAAGACTATTGTGATTTGAATTTTGTTTTATGTAAAAGACCGTAGATATCGTAGTTGCAACCCCGATTCTGATCAGAACAAGTGGAATTGTACAGAGAACCCCATTGATGGGCGCTTGTGCAATGTTCAATTTCACTAATTCAAGCTATTTATAGATCAACACCGGCAAGGACCACGTCCACACGGTCTTTTAAAAAGGGGAAAGATGATAATTATGACAACCGTTGTTACAGATACCGTGTTTACCTCTGCGTCTCTACGATTGCCATTGGAAGGGAAGTTGTGTTAGTGTGTGTCATTGTGATAAGCGATTCGATCGTAAAGCAGATTTTTTTATTTAAATCTAATGGGGATAGAGGATTAGGCATAGTGACAAAGACGATGATAGGGACGGTTGAACTCCCGACCTTCTGTTAAGTAAGGAAATTCATGAGAACATTCCAAAGAAATTCCAATGCGTTGTATACGAAGTTTTAAGGTGGTAAATACCTAGACAAATTTTACTGTCATTGCTCTGAGTTATTTAACCAAGTGATCCAGTCGGCTTAATCACATTCTATTTATGCTTAATTTATATGCATACCTCACAACTGGGAAACTTTTCAAAATTCCGGGAAAACACTGGAAAAAAGGAAATCTTCTGATCGGGATTTGTCATCCTAAATCGAAACCTAGCTGCGCCCTTAAGCTGATTTATGATCATCGACCGGTGGTAGACTTCTTACAGTTCCTAGATTTTGAAAATCTGATTTTCAACCCAAAATTAGGAGCTGAAGAAAAATAGCATATTTGACATAACCTCAAAACATCAGGAACATCTCCTGTGTCTGGTATCCACTTTGAATTTCGGACAGATATGTTTTAACTATAAAATAAATCCCCTGTCGAATGCTTCCCAGTACATCAAAATCGGATTATTATTCACGGAACTGTGGCACTTTGAATTTGGACAAAATTATTTATTTTGATTACCCTCTGTAGAATTACGCTCATTAGACCCACTTCAACGTTTTCCAAAATTGGTCATCATGTTCTTTTCTTTGGACGTATAACAAACCTGCGAGCAGTGATAGGCTGATAGCTTCTGTTTGTACTTTCCGCTGATAGCACGCAGACAATCCCAATTTGTCGTGAGATTCAAGTTATTGCAAAAAAAGTCAAATTCTTTTTCACGCGTTTTAATCGTTTCATGAATGGAGTCGAACCCGTAGCAGTAAAAGTGATAAACCACCAGGGTTCAACCTACTATAAATTACGTTCGTTTCCTAATGGAAGATCATGATGTTAGTCGTCTTTTTACACTTGACTTGTGCGGTACATTGCCTTCCTGATCGTAAATGTGACCAATCATGTGGAAAATTGTAATCTTATTAATTGCCGTCTATTGGTGCAACTCTGTTGATTCGTTGTACGGATTTCCTCTATTAACGAAACCCAGTGAGTATCGCGATATCGCTTAAACAAGGTAATGGAGGTTTGAATAGACGGAAATATTTACAGAGGGAATATGGGGCCTCCTCAAAGGGAATTCGACCAGCCTCTGGAGGCAGAATCAGCATCAGGAGCCACGAGTGTACCCAGGCGGTGAATGTGATCGACCTTGTGGCGTTGATGAACCATCCAGAATCTGCTATTATCATTGGGTCTTGGAAAATTACTCCGCCATGGGATCGTAAGTACCACAAAAAAAAATGATTTAAGGGAGATTGGGAAAATATGGGTAGAATAATCAAAAAAGAAAATTAACGAAACATTCATGGAGTTTTCAAACTGAACAGTTGAATCTTTCTCATTTGAAGTGCGTGTATTGTGGGGCCTCTATTTGACTCAGCCAGTAAAGATACAGGTAAGATCAAAGCGGAGGTGGTGGGTTCGATTCCCGGTCCGATCGAGAATATTTTTCAGATTGGACATTTTCTCGACATCCCTGGGCATAGAGTATCATTTTGCTTGCCACACAATATACAAATAGGGAAAATGTCTCTAATTGTTGGCCTATGTATCGAATACTGGGCTCATCGCTAAAAATCTGCTATTTATCAATTTTATCTAGATGAACGCGTTATTGGGACGTTACTAAAGGATATTTTTGGTTGCTATTGAAAATTTAGTCGATTGCTGAATTTATGTATGGGCCCAAATTAGGGACACTTAGGCCGAACATTACCTGCATTTCCGCATTGGTTGGCATAGAAATCTCTCAAATATAAATCTCCAAGGAAGTTCTGGAAGAACACGAAGTTAAGAGCCGGTAAAATGATTGTAATCATAATGAATAGAATTTAAGGAAAAATCCAATATAAGTTTGAGCATATTGATTTATAAATAATTAGTAAATCATAGGAAATTTATGGATTGAGGAGAATTTATAACCTAAAAAATCTAATCAGATTTTGAAAACAGTAGTACCGTAGTAACGTTGAGTTCAATTTCAAAAAATAATAAATAAAAAAAATCCTGATGTATTTCACACATACTTCAACGAACCTCAACCTCCCCTATCACATATGCGTTATCTCTTCGGACGTCCGTCGCTCGCACAAGTCGTAAAAAAAACTATCATCATTCTTTCCAGAGCATGCTGGGACTGCCTGCGAGGCAACCGAGCTCACTGCTTCCATCCACAATGCGTCACAGCCAACGGCTTGGAGCGTGGCATTGTGACAATCAATCGAAAGATGCCCGGCCCGCCGATTTTCGTCTGCAAAGGCGATACCATAGTAGTGGACGTCACGAACGAGATGGAAGGTATGGCCGATACAATCCACTGGCACGGTTTTCATCAGATGAAGTCTCCGTGGATGGATGGAGTCCCGATGGTGACTCAGTGTCCGATAGCGCCCAGCACCAGCTTCCGATACATGTTCAAAGCGGAAGAACCAGGAACCCAGTGGTACCATTCCCATTCCGGGTTCCACATGGTCAACGGTCATCTTGGAGTGGCCGTAGTCAGAAACCCTCACGATGTCAACATAGAACTGTACGATCATGATCTATCGGAGCATGTGATATTGATATCTGACTGGAGCTTGGATTCCGTCGAACGGTGGATTCCGGGGCAGCAAAGTTCACAGATGAAAGTTGACTCCATTCTGATCAATGGCCGAGGGCGATATTCTAATGTAAGACCATTGATAATACCCCATGGGGCACATTAATTAGTGATTAACTTTCAGGAAATAACAGGAGCCAAAGTGGATTACACTCCTTTAACCGTATTCCGAGTTCAGTCTGGTAAACGATATCGATTTCGGTTGGTTAGCGGTGGCAGTCAGTATTGCCCATTTCAGCTACAGGTGAATTCAAGGAAAATCATTCATTTGAAAAGCAATAAATCACTGATATACAAATTCAAACGACTATATTTAGATCGAAAAACATCAAATGACGGTTATTTCCACGGATGGCGGAGCAGTTAAGCCGCATACAGTTGATACATTAATTTCGATTTCCGGTGAGAGGTACGATTTTGTGCTTCATGCGGATCAACCATCAGGTACGTGCTTTTATTGTGAATGCAATGAAATACTTCAAAGATCGTTCAATGGGAAATTCCAAGGGATTTTTAAACCGAATTCTGACCACAGTTCAATTACCACGTTTGGAGGTAAAATGGTAAATAGTATTCAGGTGAACTTAGGGAATATGCCGGTATTATTTTTGAATCCGTTTATTGTGTTGCAAGCATAATAAAATGTATACGGAATTATGGTGTGAGATGGCCATACGGGGACAATTTGTGATGATATTTTCGTGTGTTCCTAAGGTGTTCTGTGGGATTGTTAGTATTTTGCATTGTTATAAATCATCCTCTATACTAGGAATATTTTGAAAAAGTGGGTTGATGCCCATAAACCAGGGTGCTGCCTTTTTTTCAGACACACGGAGAACAAATTCGTTAAGTTAAGATAACAATCCTAATAGTTACTTCCACATGAAAAAATATTGTTGTTTGAAAGAAACCTATAGTTATTCCAACACTAATTTGACCGTCAACTCAACCTAATAGATTCAACTGTTCATCTTACACACAATTCAACTATAACTTTGATCAATTATAACAACCGTCAAATGTAATTTATTTATATAATTTGATTTGAAGTGATCATCATAAATCCACATACTTATAACTTATGAGCGTAGAGCAGGCGATAAGATATATGGCTATCACGCAGATGAACACGTTTCAAATCTAAGTTGAATGTTCCTGTTCACTTTTTTATGATTTTACATTTGTGTTTTTGAGATCGATAAAGAAGCAACACAAGCTTCCTTAATATGTCGATAATGAAGAGCAGTTCGTTTAATAAACATTGTAAATTTTGCTTTCCTAACAAAAGTTTTCTTGAATCAACTAAAGCATAGTTGTATTTTGAAGTTTGACGTTTGTTCATCTACTGAAAAATATAGTTGAGCCAACCTCGGAGCCAACTATGGACTATAGTTGTTGCCCTCTATATATAGTCAAATGAACTATAGTTTCGGGTTATCTCTAAAACAATTGAACAATATAGTTATTTTGACCGGAGAAATAATTGCGTCTGCTATAATTTGTACTCCGTGGCTAAGGGAGGCCCACAAACGCAACAAGTATACGCATTGAAACATTTCACTCGACAGGAAACTACTGGGTACGGGTCAGGGGCATCGGATTTTGCAACCAAATGCGTGTGGAAGGAGTCGCCATTCTTTCCTATGCTGATCCTAGCATTCCCACCGAGAAGCTCGTGTTTCCCGAAGGTGATCTACCAAAGTATGACAGCCCATACCCAGTGGGTCGCACATTGAACCATCACATGACTGCATGCTACACTCCCGGAGATGACTTCACCTGTGCAGCAGACCTTCAGTCTCACGAAGTTCACCGGGATGATGAGCTGATAGACGTGGAACCAGATGTAAAATTGTTCCTCGGTTTCAAAGTACTCCGTGTCAACAATAGTATGCTATTTACGCCCCCGTACAGGCGATTTGCTAGTAAGAATCAACAAGCAGTATGTAAAGTACTCATAAACTTATCTATTCATTTTTTGCAGCCGTTCGTGATGAGTTCAACACTATCGCAATGGCCAACAATATAAGTTTTATTTCTCCCAGCTTCCCTTTACTCATCCAGCCGGAGCTCATCGTTGACGAGAGCAAACAATTTTGCAACAACTCTCACCTGCCGGACGGCTGTGACAAATATCACCTCTGCTTCTGCACCCATCGAATGAAGGCCAAACTGAACGATATCGTCGAATGGACCCTGTACGACACAGCATTCTGTAAGTGATAATAACTATACACAGAAAATGACGGCGCGATTAATAAACCTTAAATCCCCATTTACAGCAGAACAAGACTTCTACCATCCCTTCCACATACACGGCCATCGGTTCATCATCACTGACATGGGTAAGCTGCCGGAAGATGCTAAGGCCTCTCGGCTAAAATTCCTTCAGGAACGGCAGTTCGCTCGGAGACCCAACAGTCACAATCCACCCTACAAAGACACGATATCGATTCCGAACGAAGGCTACGTGAAGATACGTTTCAGGGCTAACAATCCAGGTATTACCACATAACTCTTTTCATTATAAGCTCGTCATTAGGCTTCACACGCATGATTTTTGATAGATGTGATCTATTGTTAAGTGCAGCTACGAAAATGTACGTCTTTTTTCGATGACATGCTCGCTAAACTTTTTAAAACTCTGTGTGCGTAGCTACTCAAATTTTACTGTCCTGACCGTGTGTGTGAGGACAAAAGCATCTAGAAGAACATGAACATGTCAAACAGCACACTGCCTGGTGAAAGAATTATAAACTGCACTGTACACCATCCAGTAGGTTTTGTCCATCTGAACAACTTTGTTGAACACAGCAATTTTCTAAAGGCTGACTAAAAGTTAATTGGTACGCTCAAAAAGACCTGTAATTCGTAATTCAATAAGTTTAAAAAGTCCATTAATAGTTGCTTTACAGTACTTTTATTAAAACTTCAAAGTTGCAGCATTAGATGGTTAAATTTCTCCAGTTCGAACGAAATCTCGAACCTTCCTCTTGATGGAGCTCATCAGCGCCCGCACAGTGGAAACGGACACGGAATCAGTGAATTTGTTCCATTTTGCTCGCATTTGCTGGATGTCCTTGACTGCCCCGCCGCTTCGTCGAAGTCGCTGCTTTGAAATTACCCAGTACTTTTCGATTGGTCGAAATTCCGGGTAATTCGGAGGATTCATTAGCTTGGGGACAAAATCGCTCTTGTTGGCAGCATACCACTCCAGAAACACCTTGGAGTAGTGGCAGCTGGCCAAATCGGGCCAAATGATGACTTTGCCTCTATGCTTGCGGATGAACGGCTTTTTCAGGCATTCTTCGATGTAAACTTGGGATGTCATCGTTGAGGATGTGACGAATGGTTCCGTTTTCAGGCCACAACTGCAATTCGCTTGCCAAATCATGGCCTTCTGCGCGAACTTGTCGACAAACACGAACTTGAATCTTCCCGGCACAAGCCCACGTCCTGTCGAGATGTAAAATTTTTACCGGGAAGCTGCTTAAAATCGAGTTTGACGTATGTTTCGTCATCGATCAAAGTGCAACCCTTGTGTTTCGTCAAAACACGGTCGTACAAGAGCCATACACGCTTTTTGGCCACGGAATTCTGCTTCATGTGCCGGTTCGGATGTTTACTGGCTTTGTACGACTTGTATCCTTCCCTGGCAAGGATATTCCACACCGTTTGAAAGTTGGCGTTGTACCTTCTGGCCACATCTCGGTTCGAAAGACCGGGGTTGGCTTTAACGCACCTGCGCAGCTGACGATCCCTAGTTCCAGTTTTTTCGTAGGTCCGCTGATTCCTTTCAACACTCAGGGTTTCCTTGTAGGTTTTGAGCACTCGAAAAACTGTTGTTTTCGGCATCTTCAGTAAATTTTATACTACACGCAAACCAAATATCTATTACAATGAATGTTAGTTCCATTTCCTATCATCCTCTGTTCGTGAACATCGCAGCGAATGTTAGAAGTTGACCTTGCAGGCGATGTAATGGTTTTTGCCTTTTTTATTTCGTGTTCTGTCTGTGCTTTCACCTACACAAGCAATCATTTGCCTTGATTTTTATGTATAACATGGTAGAAGGACGCACACCCTTCTTTTTTTCCTTTGGTTTGTTTTTTCCGTCGACCTTGTTTTCCGTGCTGAGCACCAATGCTACCGACGTGCCAGGAAGGCAGCTCTCACACCTGGACCCTACCACCTATCGACCCATCACAACTCATGAACCGGGGACCAACGGCTTTACTTCCCATCCGAAGGAAGGCGTGATCAGAGATGTTATGCCTCAGAACATCCCGGCGGCGCCGACTGGGATTGAACCCAGGCCTGCTGGGGTGAGAGGTAATCACGCTTACCACTACACCACCGGCACCTTTTGACGCACACCCTTGCCTCGAATCTCTCCAGCAGAAAAAGCATGCGAAGTCGAGTGTGAGAGGAAATGAGCGCTTCTTGTTTGCTTTTAGGCTATCCTTATTTAGAAGCATGGAGAGAGCAGTGGAGAAAGCACAGGTCTGATAATCGCAACGTTCGTTGTTCGAGTCCAGTCGGCAACCTTTTTCCTATTTTTTTTTCGACATAATTAATTTACCTCACTAATACACTCTACATTTTTCGGTCTCCAATTTTCTTGGATTTGACCACAGCTAGGTATATCGCATCCTCGGTTCATGCGGTCTCCACTTACATCCTCTGATGATGAATCCCACATAATTGTAAGCGAATCTTACATCCACCGGTTGGGTGTAGCAATAAGAAGTTAAATCTTATAATAGTGTGGTGTACACCATTTAATAAGTCTGTTGACGCCCTTGGATAACTTTTTCAAAGACAGAAATCTTCTATCTAGTCAAGGTGTCAAGTTAAGCAAATAATTTGAAAACAAATCAGTGTCAATATTTAAAAGGGGCATAATTGATTTTGTAAACAGTGGCTTTAACCGTCACTAAACTGTTCGCCTTCCAATAGGCCTTATTCTCGGCCTTATCCTCAGCCTCATCCATCTGAACAGCTTTGATGAAGACCGCAACCCAGTGATGTCATGGTTAATTTGGAATAGGTTACTCATTCAGAATTACAATTTGCGCCCTTGTAGTAAATAAAGATATGTTTATTTGCAATAACTGGTTACCCTGGAGGGTCACCAATGCTAACCACCATGACATCATTGAATATTTGACTTAAAATCGTAGAAAATGGGGCTACTCACTGAGTGACTAAAATTTGATTAAAAAATCTGCTCGAATATGACGAAAATCGAGAAAAAAAACCCAATCAACACGGTCGAAAAAGAACCTGGGTCGAATTAAACTTAAAATTGCATTGCATTGCGTAGCGCCATTGGGCACTGTAGAGGTGCTTGTAAAACAAATTCAAAGTAAGCGCCGTTTAAATATAATTTTAGCTATATGAACTAAACGGGGTTCTACGGTATTCAAGAAGTGTTACCTGAAAAATCGAGGAGAACAATAGTCATTCACTAAGTAGCTCTATTTTCTGCAATGTCGAGTCAAATTTGACTCAACTTTGAGTAACTCTCATTGGCCGTGTACTAGAATACTTTCACCAACCAATTAACGTGGTGCCTTTATTGATAATCTGGTGAAATTTTCATCAATAGCTCTACCTATTCTACCGTAGACACATCTTACAGTTTTTGTATCAGAGTTGGGAGAAAATTTTATCAACATGAAGCTTTGTAGCGAAAATTTATTATCTATAGAAAGTTCTAAAGAGAATAGATTGATAGTTCCATTAGAATACGGCAGTGTGAAAATTGAACAGAAATTGAAATTGAGTACTCTTTTATCTAACTCATATTTTGGTGGATGAGGGGATTTGAGGTATGTCCAGAGATATGAACATAACACATTTGTATGTTTTTTTTTTTTTTGGTGACCGCAAACTTATGATCAGGAGTGCATAAAACCGAAAATTTTATTTAGTTGGGAAAGAATGCCCCAACATAATGTAAATATTATTGCTGAATTGAGCAAATATATTTTTTGAACTTTAAGTTGAACCTGTGCTTCCAGAATCATCAATATATGTAAATCAATATTCGAATTAAATCCACACCAATCTCAAACTCATCCACCTGAACCTATATCTGCAAAAAAACGTTATTATACCCATTTTATTCTCCATTTCCATTCCTTCCCAACAGGTTTCTGGCTTGTACACTGTCACTTTGAATGGCACCTGGGTACCGGCATGGGATTGGTCCTGCAGGTCGGCGAGGTGGATCAAATGTTGAAAGCACCATCGGATTTCCCTCGATGTGGGGACTATAAATCGAAACTACGCGGGCTGAACTGAACTGACAAACTCACGGATGCTCGATGAAGGACGATGAAAACAGCGTAGAAAATGTTTCGAATATTTCAGAAGAATACATTGTGACTGTGATTGTCAAATTGATGATATTATGCAAAGCGTAGATGGAAAAAATGTGTTTCATTGGCGATTTCACTGATGATGACAGTCATAGGAAATTAATTTCGAGAATACCTACACCGTTTATGTACCGTACAATGGAGCCTTAACAATTGAAGGAATTTAAAAAAAATCCAACGCCGTTTAAAAAATTCATGTAATTTTACATGTTAATCCATCTCAATTTAAACGAAATTTCGCGTTAAATGGACAATTGTGTACTCAAGCTTGTTATCAATTGTGCTATAGGTATATGCCAGGTTTTGCTCCAAATTGCAAGTTTCAATTTTGCCTATGTAGTCTTCTTTGTATGCCGTTATCGTTCATAAACTCCCACTTAATGAGCGCAGCATGTGTCCGAACGCCAAATAAGAAACCAACTGCAACGAGCGTCTTCGCCTCACAAAGTATCAAAGTCAAACCGCCGTCCGATTAACGGTGGATGATTGTTCTTCGTACAAAGAAGAAAACAATCCAACTTGTTGATGGATTAAAATTATTGGAAAACAGTAACAAACAATCCCTATCACGTGCGTGGATTTATGAATAGAGAAGGCGGATTCAATCAAATCAGTAAAACTGATAAATCGTTGGGGGGTCAACCTTTTAAAAGTTGTCAGGAAAAATACTGTTTAGTATTAGTTTATAACTTGATGCGACTAGAAGTGCGCTATTAAAACCGTTCCAAATTAAAAAATAAGTCAACAACTTTCGCAAAATAGTTAAGTCAAATTGAATGTGAATCAATCATGTGGAAAATTGCATCCATGTTGGTTGCTATTTATTGGTGCAATTCTGCCAATTCATTCTACGGATTCCCTTTGATAACGGAACCCAGTAAGTATTGCGATGTTATGCAGTTATACAGGGCCATGGAGATTTGATAGGACGGAAATATTTGCAGAAATAGTATGGGACATTCTGAAGGCCAATTCGAGCAGTCTCCGGAGGCAGAATCAGCATCAGGAGCCACGTGTGTACCCGGGTGAGGAATGTGATCGACTGTGTGACGTTGATGAACCTTCCAGAATCTGCTACTATCATTGGGTGCTGGAAAATTACTCCGCCATGGGATCGTAAGTAGTGGCGATAAGGAATGTTGGGCTGTGTTGTTTTCAAATGGAGTATGGAAAATTTGTTATTTTTCTTTAACAATTTGATAGAATTTTTAGACTTCGTTTGATCACTGACCTAAACATATAGGGAAGGTGAGCCAGTTTTGGTTCTAGTTTCAGTATTAAGCCCTAGTGGGAATTAAAGCTAATTGTAAGATAACATACACTGAGGCAAATAGACTTAAGAATTGCATAAGGCTCGACTTATGAACGACACATCTGAATTTCATAAGCACGACTTATGAAAGATTTCGTCCAACAATCAGGAGGTAGCTCTTTTACGCCATTAGCCATTCCATTTTTCCAAGCGCTGACAGACGAGTGGTCCAGACACAGGACCCGTAATCTCAATGTCCATAGTTAGGTTCCAGTCAGCTAAGTTTTATTAGTTTTCAAAACTCATAAGTGGTTCTTTTGGAATTCTTACGTTATTTTGCCTCAGTGTCGATTAAGTGAGCTTTGGGCGGTTGTCGATCAAAAATGCAACTTGTAATATTAGGCGGACGGTTAACACTCCGAATACGATGCCTCCGAAAAACGTACATCGACGAATTTCAAAAATTGAGGTACTTCTGAAATTCCTAGGGTCTGTAGGTTATTTTGATTCTAAGAAAATTAAAAATAGGGTCGTCCACTTTATTCAAAGGCAAAAAGAGTTACTAAACTTTTTTTTTCTTAAGCAGTGTTTATGGGTTTTGTAAGTTGCCTAAGATCCATAAATTAGATTAATGAGCTTAAATGTTCATAATTAGCCAGAATACAGTCATGGTTCCTATAAATGGATCCTGGAGGCAACCGAACGGTTCTCTGGAAGATTCTGAACATCCGTAAAATTGGTCAATCCACGAAACTGATCCTAGAGTTCCGCGGTTTTTTGAAAACATTAGAATTTGGATTCATGACATAAACCCGGTCCGGATGGCCATGGGAGCGTGCTCAGGAAGATCCGAAACATCTGTAAAAGTGGTGAATCCATGAAACTCGTCCTAGAGCTCCGCGGTTTTTTTTTTTCGTAAACACTTGGAACTGTGATATAAGAAAGAATTTGAGGTCGTGGCATAAACATGGACCCGGATGGCTATGGAACCGTCCTTTGGAAGATTCGGAGCATCGGTAAAATTGGTTCATCCATGAAACTGATTCTAGAGCTCAGTAGTTTTTGTTTATCTCTTGGAATTGGATGGACATGAGACCGTCCTCTGGAAGATCTGGAACATCCTTAAAAGTGGTAAATCCATGAAACTGATTCTAGAGCTCCGCAGTTTATTTAAAAAATATTAGGAATTGTGCTATAAGAATGAATTTGTGGTCGTGACATAAACAAGAACCTGGACTAAAAGTGTTTCATACATGCAACTGTGAAAAACCGGGATTTTCGGCAACTTAATGGGGGTGCAATTTCTAAAATCAACCGCGCTACGAAAAGTGGTATGGTTTTGACCATTTATAACTCTGTCAATAGCGAATGGATATTAATTCTAAACAAGCCAATCGATTGGAATGTCATCTACGAATCTGTTAAAATGAACACTTTATCAAAAGGTCACTATTGAAAATTGCCCGTGTATGCAACTGTTGCTATAATAATAAAAATTATCACCGATTGAATGCGAAAAGCGCTTTCCCAAAAACAAATTAAGAAATAGAATTCACTCCGGTCTCACCTCTCTAATACATATTTCATTTCCGCACCAAGAACATCGAGGAAAAATTTCCACAGTATTGTTCTTAACTAGCTTCCAAGCTTCCAACCCATCGGTCCTTTTCAGGACCACAAATGACTGATAAGAGTTAACTAAAGAGTAAGAACTTGAATCCAAGACGTATCGTCCAGGATTGGCTTGTACTACATGGACATTGACAGATCACCTCAAAAACAGAACTCTCAAAATGCTTCCGAATTTCAATCCATCGAAATTTTTCACTGATAACGGGTTAAGAAATCAATTTAATATATTCTATAATTTTGCTGTGACATTGTAACTACCTTTCGTAATCCTACGTTTAATCTACGGTCGTGTCTTGGGTACAACCTCTTACTTTTTTTCGAAAACTTCACAGTTCGAAGTGTTTTCGAGAAAACCGCGAAGTTCTAGATTAGTATCATCGATGCACCACTTTTACGGATCTTCCGGAAGACAGTTTCATGGTCATTCGGGTCCATGTTTATGTTACGACCCAAAATTATTTCTTATATCACAGTTCCACGTGTTTTCGAAAAAAAAAACCGTGGAACTCATGGATCAGTTTTATGGATTGACCATTTTACGGATGTTTCAGATCTTCCAGACGACGATCCAATGGCCATGCAGGTACATGTTTATACCATGACCAAAAATTATTTCTTATACCGTGGAGGCACCATATTCAAAGCGGTTCCTAAATCGACGCACTCAATAATGTTCGACTATTTTAAATCATTTTTTTTTAAATGTTACTTCTGTAAATGTTAGTTCCAGTGCTCTAACGATGATGGTGTAACAAAGGTTTTAAAAATATCTTGTCAAAATCGAGATGCGACCAAAAATAGACGAGTGCGTCATCATTAGGAACGCGTCAAATATGGTGCTGGCACGGTATCACAGTTCCTAATATTTTAGAAAAAAAACTTGGAGTCCTAGGATTAGTTTCATTGAATGACCTCTTTTACGGATGTTCTGGACCTACCAGAGGACGGCCCCATGGCCATCCGAATCCATGTTTATGTCATGACCACAAATTCTTTATTATATCACAGTTTCCAAAGCTTTCGAAAAAAACGTAGAACTCTAGGATCACGTTTATGGATAGACCCCTTTTACGGATGTTCCGGATCTTTCGAGGACCGTTCCGTTATCTCCAGGTTCCGAATATAGGAACCATGGCTGTATTGTGGCTAATTATTAACATTTGTGCTCAATAACCTAAATTATAAAAAAGTGTATCGACTCTTTTCGCTTTTGAAAAAAAAGTAGACGACCTTATTTTCAATCTATCTGAAATTAAAATAATCTACAGTGCCTAGGAATTCCACAATTTTTGAAATTCATCATTAAATGACTAAGCTATGTCATTGCAAACATGCTGTTACACGTTTTTCGGAGGCTGCGTAGTCGGCGTAAAGTATTTTACCCACCGTATTCGGAGTGTTAATTGACAAAATTTCAGTGTATAATTCTTCAATTACAATTGCAAATCATGTTTCCTAAAACGGGTTGCTTTCTTAGCCTTAAATCTAAAAATCGGATATTTCGATTCACGATATTTTCAGCAAAATGCGCAAAATGTTTAAAATCTTTATTCTCAAATGTGTCAATACAACTTGAAATATGAATTATAACGCTTTTCAACCTTATTCCATGATTTTAAAGTGCAGCCAAAAACTGGTGCATCTAATCGTAGTGTGCTCTAATTGGCACTAGTTTTGAATGTGATAATTTTGACAGTTTCAGGTCTGTGTTTTCAATGAAAAGAAAATGAAACTATTAAGCCAGTAGAACGGTTTCTCACATGAACAAAACCGAAAAGGATGAAGTGCAGAGCTTGCTGGATCCCCAGATCCGTGAAAATAATAGTGGATTGAAAGATTGATGTTTGTGCAAGGGGTACTCAACTCTGCACATCTCAATCTTTGCCAAGTACTTTATTTACGCCGACAGCTGTGCCCAGTGTTGCGACGAACGTGCCTTTCTCAGCACCCCATGAGTTTGGCAACCCTGCAGTTATGACTTTTGAGATTGTTTGTTTACAACTTCAACCTCTCATGGATGGTTCATTGAAAAACGGAAACGAATGTTATTTTTTCTTAAATTTACTCCCTAATTTCAAAAGATAGTAAGGTCATTATCGATCATGTTGATAATGCTGATGATGATGGTGTTGTTTCTATTAAATAATATATCTGAACAAGAAATAATTACATTAGAAGCTGTGTTTAAGATTTATCTTTTATAAATAATGTTCGCAAATAGACTAGGGCGTTGCTTAACAAAAATAAATCTTTTTCGGTGACTCTATAAGTGAAATTGCTTGTCGATGAATATCATTTAGTAAGGTAAGTTCTTCAGTTGACGCAATGGTGTAAAAGTTACCCAAAACCATGATGCCTCTAGGGTTTTTGTCTTCAAGGCATAGTAAAGGAACAGATGTGAGTGGACAAGATTATAATTAAGTCTAAGTCCTGGAGATAATAATTATTATGGTTTATGATATTAATATCTCCTTTAAACTTCATTTGCAACGGGCCGGAGTCGGTATCGGTCTTGCCGGAAACATCACACCAACCAGATGAAGCTTAGCGCCGCAATGTTCTGTCTTCTCTGGTGAAGCCGCTGCCATCTTTATCGCTGCTACGACGCCCTCGGACCGACCGATCCTGGTCCTCACGGATTTGCACAACGTCAAACAAGCCCTGAAATCCGAGGCCCCAACTCATCCTGGGTATAGGCGACGATGAAGTCCGCACCACCAAACACCTCTTCATCAGACGGATCAAAGGGACGACGAGGAAGTGGACAAAACCGTTGAACCACTGGGATCAGAAGATAGCGTCGCGTTTGAGGATCGGTTACAGCAAGATCTCGCACAATTTCGATGGAACGCCGCTCCACAGGACTTGCGTTGGTTGTAGAACCCCAGCCTCAATCGAGCACATTCTATGCGTATGTCCTCAGTATCAGAACCTGTGGGAGCTCCACGGGCTACCAAATAGCATACGCGACATGCTGGGTGATGATCCCTCCACACTGGCAGCAGTAATGCGCTTTTTAAAGGATGCCCCAGACAACCAGAATGCACGTATATTCAAAGTTGTTTTCGTGATATATAAACATATATACAAACAAACAAATCGTATAGAATACAAAGAAATGGGTTATACGTACAAAAGTGGAGGCCATATACGTGCAAATTTTAATTTAATTTTAAACGAGTTGATTTAACATCATATACGATTTAATCTGTAATAACAAATTCAATTTGAA